TATCATAATTATAACATGCAATGAAATCAATTTTATACATGATTCACCTTTAACCCAATCACATAATTTGTCTTCTCAATAAGAATTACAGGGTCATTCACATTTCAATAGGAAATTGATTGTAATTGAAAACATAAATTAGGGTTCATGTTAATCTGATAGAGAAATCTAAAATTCATAATTAGGATTTATCTTAATTTTGGAAAAAGCATAATTTAAAAATTATCATAAGAGAAAAATCATAAATCTAATAAGTATGACTCTGATACCACATGTATTTTAATTGGTAGCTTTTATACGTTACTAATTCTATAAAACTACTCTCTTTAGGTTTAGATTATTTACTCTCACGTAATAACATACATGAATCATAATCATATAATACCATACATGAATTGATTCTCACATAATAACATACATGAATCATAATCAGAAGACTAACCTTGATCCATGAACACTTCATAATTCCCTTTCTTTCACTATCCAATATTGTAAAATTTTTGAAGGAAGTTGTTGATATTCGTACGGTCAATTTTAAGTCCTGTTGTAAAAGCTGACAAAGACACGAACAAACTTTATTCCTGAGGCGTGTATAATCACTGTCCTTAAGGACTTATCCGCGCGGTGTATTGCGCGATGTTAGAAATGTAGGCTGAGATCAAGAGGGGGGGTGAATTGATCTTTGAAAGATTTTCGCAATTAACAGATTATCTATTTCAAAGATTAAGAAATCTGACCAGTTCTTGAATCACAAAGTAAGCAATAAAAAATAAATGCAGTCACAGAATTAAAGAAGTGAAAGGTTTAGAAAGATATCACCAAGGTTTATACTGGTTCACCCAATCCCAGGGCTACGTCCAGTCTCCAGCCAAATTCCAGCTGGGTTCCACTAGATTGAATGTTTTACAGATTACAACCTTAACCTTACACTCAATCTATCACAAGAACCACAATTCCAGTTCTCGCACCTAACCTTTCATCAAGAACCAAATTCCAGTTCTTGACCTACCCTGCGACCAAATTCCAGCTACAGAAACCAAGTGCCCACAATTCCAGGCACCCACAATATAGTAAAAGAAAGTAAAGAAACAAACAGAAGAAACAAAGAACGCTCAAACCAGTTTTATGCAGTTCTGCAGTATGTGTTTCTTCTCCAAAAGAATGCAATTTTGCCTCAAGAAAGAACTTTGATGATCTTCACAAAAAACTAGCGTGATTCTTTCTTGAAAGTAGCACTTTTGATTGCTTGATTGATTGCCAAAAGATGTGTTTCAGATGATGTATAAAAAGATCAAGCAATTCTGTTTATATAGAAGATTTTCAAAACTACTGGTTTATTTAAATCTGTTAAAATAATCTTTTAATCTGTTAAAAGTCTTGTTTTAATCTGTTAAATCTTCTTTTAATCCATTAAAACGTTTCCAGATTTGTTTTAACTGATACGACAACGTTTATATCAATTAAAACTCTTTACAAAAAAGTCTTCCAATCTATTTTAATCGATTGTTTCGTCTTTCAATCGATTAAAATACTGCAAATCATTCTTATAAACTTTTCCAAGTGATTTTAACTAATAAAAATCTGTTTTAATCGATTAAAACGCTTAGCACAAATTTTCTTAAGTTGTTTTAATCGATTGAAACACAGTTTTAATCGATTAAAATAATTTTGATCGGTCATAACTCAATTCTGATCGATCATATCTGGTTCTGATCGGTCATATGCTCATTCTGATCGGTCAAACAGTACTCCAAGTGGTTTTAATCGATTATTTCGAAGTTGTATCGATTAAAATACTGTCAGAACACTTCCCTGAACATTTTAAGTGATTTTAATCGGTTATTTCGAAACTGTATCAGTTAAAATACTGACAGAAGGTTTTCAAAAATCTTTTTAATGAAAACAATCGGTTACTTCGAAGTTATATCAGTTAAAAACCAGTTATAAAAGTGTGAAGAACATTTTAATTGATAAAGCTTATATGCTATTAGTTAAAATAGTTGATTAAGAAAACTTTTGTCAAAATGCTTTGTTTTTAACCGTTAAAACATTTTTTAGTGGCATTTGCAACATCTTTTAAATGAAGAAACATCATGCAGCAGAAAGATAAAAATGATTATACCTAAGCAGGGCTGCATACACATTAATCCCTCTACTCTTTTATCTAAGTGACCTTTGACTTCCACAAAGTTGCCTTTGACTTCAATTTTGACTTCATCAAATCAACAAGATCTTTGCCAAAGTAATTCAATAAGATCTTCATTACTTTCACGCGAGTCCCCCAGGATACAACAAGAACTTCTCGGAATATCCGAGGATCTCAGAAACTAGCAAAAAACTCTCAAAAGAGTCAATTAACCCAGGATAACAGAAAGAAGATCAGAAAAAAGATGATGAGAGAGGTGTGTTTCTGAAGAGTGTGTAGTGGTCTCTATTTATAGGAAAAAATTTGTTGCAGTTATGGGAAGACTTTGGTAGTGTGTCTTCTCTGAAATGTTATATGTAACGTTCTCTGAAACAGTCTTCTGCAACGTGTGAGAACATGTTCTCTGAAACGGTCTTCTACAATGTGTGAGAATAAGTTCTCTGAAATGGTCTTCTGCAACGTTAGAACACATTCTCTAAAACGGTTTCTGTAACTTGTGGGAACAAGTTCTAAGTTTTGTAATACCCCTTAATTTACAACAATTATTACTATATTATCACAATTATCATTTAATCATGAATTTAATTATCGTCTTTCTCATCATTATTACCGTTGTTACATTTGCTGTTGTATAACAATCATTACCACTTTTGATCGAGTACACCTAAACATTGAAAGCTCGAATATTATAGAAGTGTAAACTAACATAAACCTAGATAGAAAATAAAAAAAAATCTCATCAATTGCCATGAGTCATGAAATGAATTCATGAATCAATGATTCCTTTAACGGAATAAAATAGATGAATGATATTTAAGAGTGGCATTGATCTTCATCATTGATATAAATATCTGAGTAAATTACCTCTTGAATCCTAAGTAATCAAAATGAGATTTAAAAAAAAAATCACTTTCACATAGGAGTAGGTCCTTTAAAAATCACTTTCAAATTTCATATATTATAAAGCGGAAAATACAAAAGAGTGGTGCCTTGCCACATGAACTCCATAGTGAGAGCCGAATAATCATGAGCAACTTTGCCCAAAGATTGCAACCAAGGAAAGCCCAACACAACATCGGGACCTTCAATGTTCAGGATAAACAAATCCACCTCAAATTTAATGTCCTGTAAGATAAGAGGGACATTATGGCAGCAAAATTGACAAACCAAGAAGGTTCCACAACCAGTTGCGACCTTGAAATGAGGGCATGGTTTGATAGGTAACCTCAATCGTTCCACTAACGCAGGCTTGATAAAGTTGTGAGTGCTCCCGCTGTCAATGAGGATGGTGAATTTTGTTTGGTTATAAAGGCCGGAAACACGCAAGGATCGACTTTGGAGCTGGCTGGACAAGGAGTGAAGGCTGGATATGTCACCCGAGACATCATCTATTGAGTTATCCTCGGATTCCGGTGGGGGTTCCTCTTCATCCGCTCCCATGAGGATAAACACGCGGTTTTGGCATCGGTGAGATGGGTTCCATTTCTCATCACATTTAAAACAGAGACCTTTTGAACGGCGGTCTCGGAGTTCGGCAAAGGGCATGTTCCGCACGGCAGGATTTGAGTGTGGTGTGAGTAAGAGTGGTGGTAACGATGTTGCAGTATTGTTTGATGGGTTATTTGGATTTGAATTGGATCGGTTTGTTTGATTGTGGTTAGGTTGGGTATGTGAGCCTGTGGAGTGTTGTGGGCCGCGAGACCACAATTTGCCTATGGTTGGTGTGTCATCAAAACGGGTCTCATATGCTCTGGCCATGGCGAAGGTTTCCATTAACGTAACAGGTCGGTGAAATTGCAATTCCCGTCTCAAATGCTTTTTCAGTCCCGTAATGAAAAAATTGATCAATAGTGATTCGGAGATACCGTTGACCTTGTTCATCAATTCTTCAAACTGGGCTTGAAAATCAGCTACAGAGCCGGTTTGAGTTAATTTGGAGAGTTCACCTTCAATGTCTTCGTACTGAGTTGGACCGAAGCGGTGGCGAACAACGGTGAGAAAAATTGGCCACGATGGTAACAAATTGTTACGTGTTGCCCATTGGAACCAGCCAGCAGCGCGTCCGTCAAGTCGAAAGGCTACGATCTGAAGTCGGGACTCTTCCGGAGTTTCGTGCAAGTTGAAAAAAGCTTCAATCTGGAAAATCCAATACAAGAGATTGGAACCATCAAAACGTGGTACGTTTAATTTCAGCGCACGTGACGTCTGCCCGGCAAATGCATTCTGTGGTTGTTTTTTGCCTTCGACGTGTAAGTTTGCGACCTTCGAATCAACTTCTACCAGGTGTTGGTGGAGTGTGGAATGAACTGACTCTGTATGGAACTCGAGTAATTCGCGAAACTTTACCATCTGTGCATCGATATTGGATTGAAGGGCGCTTTGTGTCCATGATGAAAGCACCAATGATACACTCTGCTGCAGAATGCTCAAAGGTTTTAACACTCTTCGAGTGAGTGTCCACTCCTCAGAAAATCAAGGGAAAAAGAATAATAGAATTTGGGGAAAAAGATCTTAAAAACTTTTATTCTGTTTTGTTTTGATTACATCATAGCTATTAAAAGGAATTGGGTGCTAACAATCAAGCAAAAATTAGGGAAATAAAACAAGAATTAAACTAATAATTTGCAGCAGAAATTTCAGGAATTAATTTGAGCATATCAGGATCTTCTAATTTTGTCCGCAGACATAATCAGTCATCCACGCTGGTTTCTTTCTTGCTCGTTTCCTTACTATTGGGTCATCCTTCCTTATTAGGTCTGAGTCCACTGATTGGTTTGTATCACAAGCCTAAAATGACAGTGATCAACCGTCAAGGGCAGATAATGAATTAGAATGCATTGCAGATTCTTTTTGAATGGGGGAAGAAGCGTTTCCTTTTAGGCAGATTGACGCTTATGATCTCAACAGAAAATGGAAATGGTTTTGGAATTTGATGGAGAAAATGGATCCTAATACAAAGGTAAGTGAAAACACACAATTACACATCACATGCTTGCATGATTAAAATTTATTATATGGTCGTAAAAATAAAAGAGACAATTTCAACACATCCCTTGCGCACAGAAAATCAATGTTTGTAGTTCAGAGTTGATTATTATCTGATTAGTTTGTTATACTCTACCTGATATGTTATACGCTACCATGTGAATCAGCGCTTGGGAAAGGATAATACTAGTTACGTTTTCATCTACGGAGGTAATGATAAATTGATTCAAAACTTGTCGAACGCAATTAGAGATCTTGAGGATGAGATGATGAAGAACGTGAATATGAACATAGAGAATTATCAATTGGGGAATGATAACCCTGATGACGTTCCTTATTTTTGGATGGGCATAAATAGGAAGAAACAGAAGGAGTCCAAGAACAGAGTGGACAGTGAAGTTGAAGTAGTTGTGGATACCTTGCTTTCCTTCAAAGAAGATAAACTGGGATGGGTTCTTCTAAGTGATAGTCACCCATATATGGTCGTACTTAAAGTGTGCTTGCAGCAAACATAACTTGCTCAAATCCCACGTGTGGGCGCATGATGGAGGTGGCATCTATTTATTACAAGTGTTTCCATGACAGTAAAAAGTTACAGTATTTGATTTCTGCAGTGCTTATAACAAGTATCTTCTCATGTTTGCTTTGGCTAAACTTGAAGTTTCACTGTAACTTTTGTTTGTTTGCTTCATATATATGTTACTGGATGGATGGACAGATGCTTTGTTCTCTCTTGAAATTAAATAATGCCTTCTTTTCCTGCTTACATGTTACGTTTAAGTTTTGATGAGAAACAAAACTTATGCGGAAACTCTAGGTATTATGCCTTACATTTAGTTCAACTCACTTCATTACTAATAAAAAGCGACAACTTTTTTTTTTTTAACATTTTATGAATAATTATGTCAAAATGTATATTTTATGTATGATTTTTACACTAAGATGTAATAAAACAATAATAATGTATTTTAAACTTTAAAATTTCACATAAAAAATTGTATCAATTTTTTTAATTGAATCTTAATTTATTTTATTTGATCATTGAAAGGTAATAAGAGGAGTTGGCATTAAATTATTATTTCGATAATAAAAACTTCAAAAATTATAATAAAGTATACTCTCTTTTAAGTAATTTAATTTTTAAGAAATCTTTATGTAATCTATTTATCGTATTAATTGAATCTAAATTTCTCTTCATAATTGATGAGAAATAATTTTTTCATTGATTTTAGATACTAAATTTAAATGAAATATTTAATTTTTGTTATGTAATTAAAAATGTTAATTAGATAAAAATTGTGATTCATTTTATGCATTCTCAATCATTTTATGATAACACTCTGATTCACACTTTATTACTTTAGTTCTCAAACCTATCATTTTCATTATCATCGTTAAAGAAAACAGAAAACACTAAATAGAATAAGGCTTTTGTTACACACATACATATATTATCGTGAATTTAATCTTTCAACTAGTGAATAAAAAAATTATCTATAACTCAATTTTTATTTAGTTTTTGGGTTTTGAACTCCTTTCATGGTAAATTTACAAGTGCTTTAGTATTATCGTTATGCTTAAACTTTTCGAATAGCTCATGACAAAAACCTCAAAACACAGAAAACGGGTGGGTCATCTTGGCCCTAGTAGTCTTCATCTAATGCACTCCCAATCTCTAACACTTTCACGTGACAAAAGAGGATCCCTACATCATTGCTCATTTTTATTTTTGATTGACGTAGAAAGTGAGAAATTAAAGTAACACCAGGGGACTCTGGATTGAGATTCAAGGATTTTGGAAGAGCTTTGCTTTGCCTCAAACGAGATCCCAAAGATATGTTGCTCTCAACAAAGTGTAGTATATAAAGCATCTGGGCCAACGCAAGCAAATGGATCAACGGTACCTGATTTTGAGATATAAGAAAAGAGAAAGAACCCGAGAAAGAAAGCTAGTTTTGGCATATCCATCAATATATATGAACACTATCACAGTATATAAGTAAATATAAGGACATTCTCTCGACAATCGCGTGCATATACCTGTTAATTACAAGTATTATGCTCCACACAATTGAAAAGTACGTAATGCATGTTTGTTACATCGTTAGATATGAGCATTGAATAGAAAAAATTACATATATATCTGTTAAATATGCAGAAATTACATTTTCTTGCTTTACTTGAAGTGCGTCACAAAGAATTGGATGTGAAATAAACATAAAAGATGGCTAAAGAATCGTATGAGCCTTTATTTTATAGCTTAAAGCCTTTTTGAAGCAGGTGGTATATTCTTTTATAAGAATTTTGGAGTAGTAATCTTAAGAAATCGGCAAAAGCAGATTCTTTCATGAATACTTCTTCAATTGTTTGATATATAAATATTCACTACTACAGAAAACACTTACTACGACAACATCCAACGTCGGTTTTTACGAAGGTCAACGTTGTACAAGACGCGGTAGCAAACTTGTAATTAAGAAACAATATTTAACGTCGGTTATAACAAAACCGACGTAGTAATGGACAAATAACGTCGGTTAGATAACAGACAACGTTAAATGTTTAAATTTAACGTCGGTCATGTATAACCGACGTTGAAATTCCAAAATCAACGTCGGTTCCATGATTTACCCGACGTCGAAAGCATTATCCACGTCGGGTTTTTTAATAACCGACGTCGAATGTCCTAAGATACCTAGACTCGAAAGCGCGCAGTTGTTCTTTTGCTTCTTCTTCGTGCTCTGGTACCTCAGTCCTTCTGCTTCTTCTTCGTGCTCTGCTACCTCAGTCCTCAATGCCGTGTGCTGCTACCTCAGTTCTCTACTTCTGCCTCGTTCCTTGTTTGACGTGGTAACGCCGCCCCCTCGCCGCCCCCTCGCCGCACTCTTACACGGCGTTGCACCGCCGTTGTTGCCGTGTGTCTGGTACCCCTCGTTTCCCTAAGGAAACCCCTTCTCATCAGGTTAGATTAAGTTGTATGGATGATTTACAACATGCATTTAACATAAATATGGATTATTTAGAGCATTTCCTACATATGAACATTGGAAAGATGATGGATGATTTTGTATGGTTTGATTTGATCTAGGTTCCTTTAGGCTTTTGGAAGTTTGTTTTCAGTTTCGAAGTTGTATAAACTCTTTCATGTAGATGTACACATTTTATTTTCCCATTCTTTATGTGGGAAATCAGATGTATACGTTTTTTTTGTATTGTTTTGCTAAACCTTTTCTAATAAACCTTGAATATCTAGGCAAGCCCTTTTGTGTAGTTAGATGGATCGAACTTGGGTCAATGCAAGTCGCATGTCAGAAGAGTATGAGAATGGAGTTGACTCCTTTTTGAAATTTGCCGAAAAAAATGCTCCCAAAATGAATGGAAAAATCTATTGCCCATGCGTTAATTGTGTAAATGGCAGAGTACAAGAGATGGACACAACGCGGGAACATCTTATTTGCGATGGGATGATGAAGAATTACACCATATGGTCATGGCACGGTGAAGTGGTTGATATTCCAACAGTATCACAAACTATTGAGGATGATGTAACCTGCGAAGATCGAATAGAGGACATGCTTTGTGATGTGGGTCAAAAGAGCTCTCTTGAAGCACATGCATCTATATATGATACATTGAGGACCGATTCAGAGACACCTTTGTATCCTGGATGTACAACTTTCACACGGTTGTCATCTGTGTTAAGATTGGTCAATCTAAAAGCAAAATTTGGTTGGAGTGATACAAATTTTAATGAATTACTCCAACTTTTAAAGGAGATGCTCCCAGACAATAACACCTTGTCGGACCGTATGTATGAAGCGAAGAAGATACTTTGTCCGATGGGTTTAGAATATAGGAAGATACATGCTTGCCCTAATGATTGTGTGTTATACAGGAAATAATTCTCATATTTAGACCAATGTCCAACATGTGGTGTATCACGTTACAAAGCGAAGGATGGTGATGATTGTAGTCAGGAGAGTGGTAAAAAACGTCCTCCTGCAAAAGTTTTATGGTATCTTCCAATAATTCCAAGATTTAGGCGGTTGTACGCTCACGAAGATGCTGAAAATTTAATTTGGCATTCAAAGAGAAAAACATGTGATGGGCAAATGCGACATCCATCTGACTCTCCCCAATGGAAGAATTTTGACCGTCTATTTCCAAGTTTTGGTAGTGATGCAAGAAACCTTAGACTTGGATTAGCAACAGATGGGATGAATCCTTTTGGAAATTTAAGTAGTAACCATAGTTCATGGCCCGTTTTATTGATGATTTACAATCTTCCACCATGGTTATGCATGAAGCGCAAATATGTCGTGTTGTGTATGATGATTTCAGGTCCAAGACAGCCAGGAAATGACATAGATGTGTATTTGAGTCCTTTGATAGAAGACTTAACATTATTATGGGAGGAAGGAGTAGATGCATTTGATGGGTATCAACAGCAGAAGTTCAAGTTGCATGCAATGTTATTTTGTACCATTAATGACTTCCCTGCCTATGGAAACTTGAGTGGGTATAGTGTGAAGGGGCATTATGCTTGTCCTATTTGTGAAGAAGAGACCAGTTATCTACAATTGAAACATGGAAAGAAGATAGTTTATAACAGGCACAGAAAATTTCTCCCGCATGACCATCCATAACGTAGACTGAAGAAAGCTTTTAATGGCATACATGAGGATGAAATTGCCAGAGAACCATTGACTGGTTTACAAGTTTACGATTGAGTGAAGAACATAAGCATTACATTTGGAAAGACCCAAAAAAGGTCTTCTGACAAGAACATGTGGAAGAAGAGATCAATTTTCTTTGATCTTCCATATTGGAGCCATTTAGAAGTACGACATTGTATTGATGTTATGCATGTGGAGAAGAATGTATGTGATAGTCTCATTGGCACATTGTTAAACATTCAAGGAAAGTCAAAGGATGAGATCAAAGCACGTCAAAACCTTTGTGAGATGGGAATACGTCCTGAATTACATCCAAGGCCTGAAGGCAATAGAACATATCTACCACCAGCATGTCACACCTTGTCAAAGAAGGAGAAACGTAGTTTATGTCATTGTCTTGAAAGTATTAAAGTGCCACAAGGATACTCTTCAAATATTAAGAGTCTTGTATCCATGAAAGATCTGAAGTTAATTGGATTAAAGTCCCATGATTGTCACGTTTTGATGCAACAGTTGTTACCCGTGGCTATACGTAACATATTGCCTAAGAATGTTAGACATGCCATTACGCGACTATGTTTTTTCTTCAATTCTATTTGTGCCAAGGTTATCGATGAAAAATCACTAGATGAGTTGGAAAATGAGGCTACGTTTGTGCTATGTCAATTGGAGATGTATTTTCCTCCATCATTCTTTGATATAATGATTCACTTAATAGTTCATGTTGTGAGAGAGATACGAATTTGTGGGCCGGTTTATTTGAGGTGGATGTACCCAATTGAGCGATACATGAAGATCTTCAAAGGGTATTCTAAAAATCCATACGGACTCGAAGCTTC